CCTTTCGCATGCGGCGCTCCGCGCAGCTACAAGCGCAGTCGCCGTAACGGCGCGTTCTGGCAATCCGAAGTCCGCTGTACCATCAAATCTACATCGCGGAGCGTCTGGGCTCAGTATGAAGTGCCCTTATACGCGCACGCGCTGGGTTTGCGGGATGAGCAGGACACGGTGCGGTTTCCTGGGGCAGAATAGAAATCTTGGTGCGGGATGGAGGATTCGACGAGTTCTTAGCTAAAACACCAGCGGGACTGATATAGGCGGGGCACGGTGGTGTGTCGGAGGCAGTGTCGATTCAAAATCACCCGCCGGCGGCAACGTGATGAGTGGGGGTTGCCAACATATCGGGGGAGGACGAAGCAGCGGTAAAACTTAAGAGGCCTGGCGGATTCAAAAATGTGTTTGGGAAGACGGGAGAAACTCGACAGAGAGCGAGGGAGAGAGAGAACAGATAGCTATGGCTGCAGACGCTCCCGCATGCCTTTATGCGCAGTCTCGGCTTGCTGGCCCCGGAAAATGCTTGATGCACCTCGGCCTCACAAGCCACTTTCCAAGTTCACCAATTGCTGAACTACCTCGACTAGCTCCCGCTTGGCTTCCTCTCTCCCCGAACGGCTACCAAAGATAGGAGGAAGATCAGCCCTCATCGTTGTCGTGTCAGGTATCAACGGCATACTATCATCTACTCTCCGATTCGGAGTACACGCCCCGCCGTATCAACTTTTCCCGGAATTTGAATGCAGCACCAGCTCTCTCGCTGTCCAATCTGATCCTTCCCAATTCCTGCGGGGCGTACGCCACGCCGGCGAATCCTCTTTATTTCGGTTTTCCTTATCCTATCCCTGCCATCACCACACGCCATGTCTGGCATCGTAGCAAGACAAGTCGGAGACCCGGAATTGACCAATCAAGTTTTCAGCCCTGCTCCAGTCATGTTTGTGCACTCCACTACCTCACTGGAATCTGCAAATTATAGCTATCATCGAGTGCAAGGTTCAAAGTACGCGTACCGTCTACTCGTCCAACATCAGCTCAATTTGATGCAGGACCAATGATGATTTAATGGTTCTGCCACCTCACGTTCTCTTTGAAACGGCGCGCAGTAGACCACCCCTTGACTCGAAGCGCGTCTCAAGGGGCTCGTTCTCTTGTGTCATTTTATCGGGCTGACACACGCTCATTCGTCCCCCCTTCGCTTTCAATCGGGCCCCGTCCTGATTACTCTGTGCATGACGACCACTTGAGTGCCGTCCTATGATCTCCTTCTCTGCGACCTTTGTCTACTGGAGCTTTGTGCTGAATTTGCCAATCAGCCATTCTCCACCTCGAACATCTAAACCCTCGCCTGTGTCGGGAGAAGCGACAGGGGAACGGTTCGCGTTGGCTAGTCCCCGTCTCTGATCGTTGGTGGTTTATAGCATCGACTTTTGAGGTGTGCGCGACCTGCGACTTTCATATCTACCGCTGCTATTTTGGATGCGGGCCAGTTTGTTATCTTTCTCGTGAAACGGGTGTGTTGTCATCGACAACTGCGTTTGTTACGCATGACTTCACCCTTTCTTACATGCCCTGACGATTCATCCGAATGCGCTGGCGGCGCTCTAAGCGAGTGGAGCGGCCAAGGTACCGCGGTTGGGAGCGTTGTCCCTCTCCACATGCGGATGCGAGCGAACGAGCTGTGCACTGGCTAGTCAAAGGGGCTGTAGGTTCTCGATTACCTGAGTGGTAGGGTTTTTGGTTTGAGAGACAACGAGTTCTCTGCGGGCTGCGAGTGTTCACGGGGGTTTTTTGCGCAAGGAGGACCAAATGACTGGTCAAGGAGTCGTCTAACAGATGGGGGAGTTTTGCCGCGCCGAGGAGAATGCGGAGCGTTTGCAGAAACGGTCGAGGGTTCTTCGGTTCATCCACGCATACGCGAAGACCAGATGTGGACCCAGGACTTGGTGCAGGATAACATGTCCTTGTTATCAACCTCGGCGACGGATGTGCGCGATGCGAGAGCGAGCGCATCTGCGCGTACTGCGTACTCTTCTAACAGAGCGAAAGCACTGCTGGAAGAGTGAGATGGTCGTGCTGTGACCAATTTTCGAAGCCTCTTCATGGTCAAACTGGTCCCCTACAGTAGTCGTGCGATGTAGGATATGTGCATAGTGACCGCGACGACACGACCGGTCACGCGAGGCTCGGCTCGGCTCTTCTGAAGTCTAAGTCGACGGCTGCTTGTGTGGCACAGCAAGTGCGGCGGTCCAATTTATTGGAGTGTATGACGCGGTGGCCGCGCCGTGGGGAGCAATGATAACCAATGCTAGGCAAGTCCGAGCATGCAAATGCTGCGAGGTTTCCAGGCGAGCCCTGGTCAAGAGACTTGTCCGCGTTGTTGGTTCTGCTGGCCGTGGTCCATTGTCCTGTTTCAACTCCTGCTGGCAATGGGGAACAGGAACGTCGAGAGTCCAACGAGAATATTGGTGGATGGCGTTGAAGGAGGTGGGGGCTCGTGGAGCTTCATTCGTCGAAGTAGAGCCATACAAAAAATTGGGAAGTAGGACCAGCTGCTGCAGGCGAGAAGACGGAGTGGCGTTTCGCGTGGTTCGGGCGAAATAGTCTGTGAGGAGTCGATGTAGAATATATAAGCTAGGTAAAGTCAGGGTCGTTGCTCTCTCTTGACGTCAATGGAGAGGAAGACAGAGTGCAGAGTTACAGTAGTGCTACAAAACGTTGATCTAGCGGGGTTACAGTTGTACAATAGTAGTTATCCACATTCTAGTACAGTACGTATCCTACACTGCTTTCGCAGACCATCCCGACCAGAGCCACGATATGGACCTCAGAACACCCTTGTGTTCATGGTGACGCGAGGAAAACTCGCTCAATCCTTTGTCTGAGGGGCGGCGGAGAGCTGAGCTTGCGAGAGTAAGAAGAAGTGGTCGAGATAGAGGTGAAGGATCCGCTGGATGTGAATGACAAGTCTGACGAGCATGAAAACGCTGGAGATGGTGCTCTGGGTGATGTACGAGGCGGGGACGGATCGTCATTCTATTGTCATTATCGTTAGAATTCAATCGAAATGAAACGAGCTGGCGTACTGAAAGTATCGCATCTATGACGCGCAGCGAGGGCGACATTGCGATTGTCGTTTTCTTGCTTCGACGTGCTTTCGCAGCGATGAGAGGAGTTTGCACAAAGTACGGAGGCGACAATCGGCTTCGTTTCAACGGTCGAGATGATGGATCGCTCGGCTGCTCACGATTCATTTCTTGCCAGAGGTGGTGCTGTGGGACGTTCGCCGGAGGAATTATGTAGGAGTTGGAACGACGAGGGGGGAATTCCGGCTCGCTTTCAATGAGCTCGAAAATGGAGAAATGTGTGGGTTCTAGAGCAGCGAAGGGAGCCGAGTGCATGCGCTGTGGTTGAGGCGCTGCGAAAGTGGGCGGCGGAGACGAAAAGATGGTGTCGCTGCTTTGACCCATGGAGGGGAAGGGAGCGTCTGGGGGTTGGCCACTGACGAGGTGGCGGGGCCAAGAAACTAGTGCTCGAGCCAGATGGTACGCCGATCCAGGCATTCGTCGGCGGCGTAATTGGCGACGGCGCAAACATATCCGACGAAGTCATCTCAATGTCTTCGTTGACAAGTCCAGCATTCTGCCACAAAGAAGATGGCATCATGGCACCCTGTTTCGAAGAGGCTGCGAATTGTGGCACCATAGGATAATGACCGAATCCTTGGCTACCAGACTCATGGGTGACTGGAGGAGGCGCATCGCCAGGGATTATTGCACTGGACTGGGACAGCAAGGGTGGGGAGATGGAAGGACCAGATGCTGGCTGAGAAGCAAATCGAGGAGAATCGTCGAACGACATGTCCTCGCAAACAAATACAGATGTTACTGCCGGTTCAGCTAGGGTTTTCGACGGTGACTGTTCCGCAAAGGGAGCAGCCGCAGCGTTTGTAGACCGAGTGATGGTTGCCTGTTCTTTGACCGGGGGTGTCTTCGATGTTCCAGAGACCTCGCCTACTTTGGAGACGACTGGCACAGCTAAGCTCGTGGAACGGACGATGACATTCGCAGGCCCCGCATAAGAGGAGACAGGGTCGCTAGAGGGTGATTCGAGCTTCCTCGCAGGAAACCTATTCGACAACTATTATGAACAACGTTGCTCAGGCATAAACAAATCATAGCTGACCTGCTGTTCGGAATGGAGACTTCCAATTCCTCGGCGTCCTCCTGCGTGGTCTTGGATGACACGGTAGTGATTTCATCGGGTTCCACAATGCGAACCTTGAAGGTTGGCGAGCTGGTCGCCGAACAACTCGTCCATTGCCGAAGACAATTCTTGGTCGAATTCCAGCACTGCAGCGTCGAGTTCCAGCTCGATTGGGGGGGAATTGATGATGGATTCAAGGAATTCTTCAGCTTCTAGGTCGCTGTCTTGCGATGAGAACAAGTCCACCAAGGTGACAATATCTTACAGTTCGGATTGAGAGGACATTTTCAGCGGTCAACGCGAGATGGAGAGACCGTGGACGTCGATGGAAGGTGGGATACGAGGGGTGACTACTTGTTCCCAGCATACTTTTGTACTCTTGCGCATTGACCCACAATGGTTGCCTCAGTGATCATCGTTCTTGTTCTTCAAGCGGTGTTCCCCATTTGGCCTTTGTTGTTTAAAAACGCGGGTCACGAGCGCGCGAGCCTGTGAATGTCGTCGTGAATAGTCGTCAGCGAATCACTTCAATAAAGAGGCTCAAGTACTTCGATCATCGTGTAACTTACCGAAAAATTTGATTCCTCGCACTTTTCGTCTTTCCACCTTCAACAGGGGGCCTTCTCAGGTAAATGACGAGACGCATCGAGGGGGCGAACCTTTCCGAGTTGTGTTCTATGTGGCGGCCAAGCAAAAAATTCTGGAAAATTCGGAAAAATTCCAGAGGGTCCCCAGAGCTTCCAGAGTCAAAATTGGAGAAAAACCGATGGAAATGGGGTCAAAACGAGAGCCAAAAAGAGTGAGCACAGCAGGACTCGAACCTGCAGCCTTTGGTGGCCGATTTTAGGCATCGAAGCCAAACACGCTACCATTGCGCCATGAGCCCGTTGGAAATCATGCAAGCTACATTAATATATGCGTTCAACATAGGCAGCCACCACACTGGTCCCGGAGGAGCCGCAGCGATGTACTCAGCCTCTGCAGTTCGAGTACCTATGCGCAGGATAGGCTTGATACCAGTGGGACGTAGAACCAAGGCGTCCAGCCAAACATCGGCCCAGCGCGACATTTACCTCGTACGTCGACGCCGCCAGACCAGATAAAAGTGAGCCCAAGGACCAGCTTGTGAGTTGCGGGGACAGCATTCAAGAATTTGAAGCAATTCGAAAACTCCCCGACATTACAGATTCGATGACCGGCGGCAGGAGTGAAAGCTTGGACCGAGGAGCTTCCTTTATACATGGGCAAGTGTTGGGCAGCGGAGCTCGAAGCTTTGTAAGCGGAGGACTTGGGGAGGAAAGGACGATCGGATACTTAGGTTGGCGCAAACGCTCCGGCTGACACTAGGGATGTGGCGGTCAAAATTCTAGGGGGGAAGGGGGGACCAGCTCTGAGAGATCATGATGAACGCGATTGGAGCTGAAATAGTCGAAGTAAAAGACTTGTCTAAGTCTGCGTCTGTACCGAGTGGCGTTTCCATGAAAATTGAAGGAGTCCAATGAGAAAAGAGTCACAGTCAACGAAGCCTGTAACGTGTCGAGGCTGTAATAGCACCCAAGTTTGTTGAGACCGCGTTGGGAGTTCAAGTGGGTAGCGCCGTAGCGGAGTGGTGGAGGAACGAAGCAAGACAAGATAGACGATAAATACATGACAACATCTTCGAACATCACCCAAATTGAACTCATTTGCGATTGTCCCATTTATTTTCCATGAATAAAAACCGTCTAGCTAGTCCTGAGGCCGACTCCTAAAGCTGCCGAAATTTCAAAAAATTACGAGTACTTATGTAGTCGTTCCTTTAAAATTTTCCCGCCACCAGAATTCCGTGACCTCCGTTATTACTTGTCCGGTCTATTCGTTGAACACTTTTGATGGTGGCTGTGCCCTTTTTCCTTACCTTTTGTTAAACCCAATACAAACCGTTGTAATGGCCTTTGAGTTTGTGACCGTGAGAATATTTTGACTGGGTGAAAAAACCAAACCCCAACAACCACCACGCCCTATCATTTTGAGGTTCTTAGCGCTTGCAATAGGGATGCGCTTGCTAGTCGACGTGGTCTGAGCGGGTATTGGGTATCACGTTCAAGTTGTTCAACTAGAAACAAATAATCGACAGGCCGCGGCTGCCGCCGCGAGTGCGCTTTTGCGTGCTTGGGTTAGCCTGGCAGTGCGCCGCCTGGCCGCGCCTGGATTGTCATAAGTACGAGTACCTGCCGCGCTTCGCGACGGCCCATTCCCCCAAGTCAAATTCTCATCGTGCTCATCCATTTTTTTTACTGCGATCCCGGTCATTTCGAGTCCTGCTGTGATCAATTTTTGTTTTGGATTCTCCTGGGTCCTTTCTCAACGCTACTGTGCGGAGACCGAGCTACCATGCTACGGCGTTGCTCCACACGATATGTAGCACCCATACTGCGGATCTGTGTGGTTTTGCCGTCCTCAATTCCTCTCAATATTTTCCTAGAGTTCTGACATACCCGGATCGTTTTTTGCTTGAGAGCTTCAGACTGACGGCAAACTGAACCCAAAGGTTCATTCCTACACATGCGAATACACGCCTTGAATGAGCTTGGTGCCGTGATGTGTTGGCGGAATCGTAGACTGGACTTTGTTAGAGCCTCAGATTTCGTTAACGTTTACTCGGCCTCGACTCCTCAAACGGAACTAAATGCACCACTCGTGGAACCAGGATGGCGATGAGAAACCGCCGTTTCGACGCGTCGACGATGAGGGGAACGAAGCAGTGATCAAAAGATCCCATGTCTGAAACTTGACAGAACGCGCACGCTCAAAGGTGGACGAACTCTCGTGGCAGGAACACCTGCGAACGCTCTACAGGACTTGTGTCCTCCCAATACTCGCATACGCGGCACCAGTGTAGTGGCCGGGAAAGAGGAAACAACATCCGCAACGTCCAAAATCAAGCGCTGCGACACAGCCCGGCAGCCTCCCAAACGACACCCACACAACCTCTAGAGCTCCCCTCCAGTGAGTGCACGCTCGGCCTCATTCGCGACCAATACACCGTATACCTTCACAAGCTCGGACATCGGGATCCTATGGCGTGAAAGCGAACTCGCAGCAGCTGCGCCAACGCTACCACCGCACAAACGGGTTCATAAGAACCATATGACCCCACCAGAAACGACTCGTCTGCGTGAAGTAGCCAGATCAACATACCACTCGAACAGGACGAGGAGGTACGTCCAATTCCAGTCCCCTCCGTGGAGGAGAACTGTGCACGATTGCAACGAGCAAACACGCGTCAGCGCGAAGGAAGGAAAGTTGTCAAGAGAAGGAAGAAGTAGCCAAGGCACGTGGAGCGAAGGCGAGCGAATAGAATGACAAGCGCGGACGCTTTGGTCGTGTACTCCGACGACTCGCCTTGAGAAAGCAAGGATCAAGGAAAGAGAAGCGTTGGGTACGGCGTAGGAGGAGGATACCATGACGGCCGCGAGCGCATTGCGTGAATCCGCTGAATAGGATTCAGATCCCAGGTTTGACGTGGAGATGGCGGGGTTGGCATGGACAGCACACGATACCTTGAAATAGACCAGCGCCGACTCAGAAGTAAAGCATGTCCACTTCTTTGCAGACAACACGGCCGTCCCGACTGCCATATTCGACCCCAAGCCCGCGCCGGGACATGCACATGCCCGAAGGCTCCACTGGTACATAGAGGAATTCTTGAAGAAGAATCCAGGGATCACAGTCGACATCGACCGATCCCCGGTATCATCGGGAACGAGAGAGCCAACGAACTCGCGAAAGCAGCGGCGGGAACTTGGTGCGCAAACACAGAAGAAGCGCGCAGCACAGGAAACGGCGCAGGAAAAATGGACCGGAAACTGGAACAAGCCGTACCCGACTGGCAGATTTGCTGTCGCCGACCGCATTCCCTCCAGCCTTGAAGCCCAGATCCCACTTCACGGACACAAACCGAGAAGTATATAGACGGCTCGTACAATGCAGAACAGGCCGAGAGGAGCCCGAGGAAATCTCTTCGGCCTCCCCCTCCTGACATCATGAATAGGTGATGTCAAAGAGGGGAAGCGTATGTAGGCCAGCTGCATTCAAGAAAGCAAGAAACTGCCCAAGAAGATCTGCATTCGATGACTGGGGAAAGAGGGCTGAGATTGAGTTTGGACTGAGGAGGAATAAGCAGATTGGCTATGAAGCTGAAACGATTGGAGAACCAGCAGCAGGCGCTTGAGGTGGTTACATCTGGAGACTTCATGATATGCAACAAGCTGGAGGCTGATACTGACGCTCAAGAAGAAGAGCATGAGCTTCGGAGTATACGAGCCAGTTGCACCACCCAGATTTCCAGGAAGACTGTAACCGTGATTGCGCTAGGAATTTGCAGTTGCAAGACGGAGGATCAACAAACGACAACAATTGCCTAATAAAAGCAAACAAGCGCGTCTGAGTCTTTCTCTCTCTTCCTCTCCTTCTTGTATTTCTTGATCATGGCGGGTAGGCCATCTCGTTACGACGCGTACCGAAGGTATTTGGCGGAGGCGAGGCAGAAAGACTTCGAATCGAGCAAGAATGTGAAGAATCTTCCCATTTTGTAGCAGCAGACGGGCTTGTACCGTGTTCCCTCTGTCCACTGGACCCGACGTCTGAGCAAGAATTTATCGAGAAACTTTGGACGCGTTTCGGACTGAATCGCCACCGGTGAGTGCCATCCTCCACACTAATCTCTTTGCACACAGCAGCTTACGTCGTCCAGTAAACAATATCACACCGTCAAGATGCAGTTCGAACGCTGGTACAAGAAACACAAGGCGTGTTTGCTTTGTGGTCTCGACAAAACTGTCACCGTGTTTGTGTTTTTGTCTTCCAGGGGCAAATCATATCTCATCCTTTTTCTCTACCAGCTTTGACTCTGAAGCGTCGTACAAACAACACATCCGGTACGACGGCGCGCACTGCGGAGACCCGCGTATGCCCGTCATCAAGCCGCCCACCCAGGTCCAAGGCACCCTTCAACTTCCGAATCTTCCTTCTCAGGCGGAAATGGAAGACTTGGCCGCGCAATGGGATGCACACGTCGCCACGATCGAGTTGCCTCCGAACTTTCTTTCTGAACAGGAGATGGAAGAGTTGGACGAGCGCTGGGGGGCACACTTTGCCAGGCTCGAATTGCCTCCGAACTTTCTTTCTGAGGAGGAAATGGAAGACTTGAACGAGCGCTGGGGGGCACACTTCGCCACGATCGAGTTGCCTCCGAACTTTCTTTCTGAAGAGGAGATGGAGAACTTGGACGAGCGCTGGGGGGCACACTTTGCCAGGCTCGAGGCGTCGTTGGCGAGTGCTCAGAGAGGTTGAGGTGGCGGAACTGCTCAGGGACGCGACCTAGGTGATGATAGACGTGGACAAGGTGGCGGCGAATCCGTTAGTGACGATGGTGTGCATCTGGCGACAAGCGTCTGAAGATTTTGAAGGAGGGTTCGCGTTCGTGGAGGCGAATCGGTAGCTGAGTTTTGGCATTCTCTTACTATACAACGGACTTTTTAGCATTTGATTAGTTATATGTACAACCCTCGCAGTAGCAAGATTAGCATCATACTATTACCGTACCATTCGCATTTTGTATGCGCAAAAGATGATCAAACCATATTCAGTTGTAGTGAGCTTGGTGCCCTGCTGTGTGCCCGGAATCGTAGCCTGGGCTTTGACAGAGAACCAAAATCTTGTGACTTGGCCCTGACTCCTGTTGTGCTTGATTTTGTGAGTCAGGGAGCCGTTGAGGAATTCAAGTATTCGACACTGAAGAACGATAAGCGGTGCGCAAAAGCCAAGCGACAGGTGCCTCGAGTGCGCCACTGAATTCAGAAAGGTCTGATACCGGTCAAGTGACGAAGAGAACAAGAATGGGTA